ATGTCTAGGTATAGCTTCCGGAATGGAGCCGTGTCTTGAATCAGCGATATGCCGACGTTTCGCAAACGTTGCAGTTTGCATCATCAGGGCTGAGAACTCTGATACTGATACTCAGTATCAGAGTTCTCAGCCCTGATGATGCAAACTGCAACGTTTGCGAAACGTCGGCATATCGCTGATTCAAGACACGGCTCCATTCCGGAAGCTATACCTAGACATTATATCAATGGCCGTGAAAGCCTCAAATCTAGTATTAATTATTTTTCTATAATTCAACTGTGATTGGTCCATTTCTTACTTGATGCTTAAAACTTAAGTTCTCATTGTAGATCCCGTTTTACGTGCATTGAAGTTAGATGAACTGTAGTAAGCAGTGACATACTATATATTATGTACTCTTCATTATGTATACAGGATATTTTCAGCTAATTTGGAATTATGGATATAACAATATTACGTTTAATACAAAATTACGTATTAATATAAAATCACGTACTAGAAAACATTCTGAATAAAGGTAATTCCATATACTTATGGATTCTTGTTCGTGCCAAGAAAAGATCGATATAGCGTGAGTTATATTCGATCATAATCTTATCCCCGTTGAGTTGGAACTCGCCCACGTTCGATTCTTTCGGAAAAATTGCTGTTATTACAAGTTCATCGGAGTTTCTCGCATTGCTGCTGTTTCCACCGATCAGATCGTATAAGGCATACATTCTCCAAATTAACTTGGACAAGATCCCTGGTAACTGTTGTTCTCAACATGAATACAATGACATGAATCAATTTTTACATTTTTACAATTTGTGCGTGAAGTTTGTTACAAGAATTTTAATAAACTCACGTTTTCGTAGCGTGCGACGATCTTATATTTCCGCAATGTCGACAGTTCTCGCGACACTTCGTAACAAGAATTTGTATAAGGAATAAAGTGTTTGCCCATAGATTCTTTTTTACATTCATCATAAAGTCCGTGCATCTTTCTGCTTTCTTCAAGCTGGTCGCTACTGACTTCGCCAATTAAGCTCATTGTTATTGAGGAGCCGCTGCATCTTCCTTTTGCAGTATCAGATAGACCCCATACGATATTTAATTTAATGCGAGATAGATCGCTCGGTTCGTTACTCAAAAACTCCCATTGCCATGGCATGCGCCTTTCGGCTTCTATGCAGAACTAAATAAATCAATAATCAGTTTCCGTTGTATTCAACGTTGTTATAGACTTTTAATCTTACCTTTAATACAGGCTCGTCGGGAGCGATTTTAGATGCTTTAATTTTAATGACATCCGATAGCCAACTAGTAGTTTCATATAACGCAGCTAAATTCCACTGATGAAAAATTTGCGACGAATCCAAATTGCGATGTGTCAAAGATAACATGTGATAGTTTCCGTTTCTCGTGTACTCCAATTTTGTCTAGTAAAACGCATTTAATATAATATACAAAAATTAATTAAATTATATCACGTTAAAGATAAAGAATACTCGTTATCTATTGATTATTCATTTTCTTTTGTACACATGTAGCTCCATAGAAACAAAATAATCTTTTCATATATATTTATAATTATAAATTTCTGGCTCAAATATATATAATAATCTAACCTGCGATGGTCTCGAATCAAGTGCTTCGATATAAGCTGTTAATCCACAGCTGCCTTTTGGTGGCATGTAAGAGAGATAGTTCAAAAAATGCAGTCCGATTAGGACAAATCGTATGCTTGGCCATGTTCTGTATGTTTGAAAAAAATAGGGAAAATAATTTTTGGATTCTAGATGTGCGTTTTCTAATACATTCAGTAATTCAACATGCATTAATATGGACAGTATGTTATTTACTGATAGTTGCTTCGATGGGAAGACCAAATATCATTAATCAGAGTTTCGTATGACACTGTGCTTTCACAATCAAATATCTTCACTTGCACTTGACTACCTATTTCGGGAAGTTTGACATTCATTATCTATAGAAAAGAAATTACATCTTTATTATATAAATACGCGAATATTTAATATTATTTCGAGATAATATTTACTTGCATATCGGAGGAAGGCGATTTTGTCACTGTATATGATATCGGACACGAATGACAAATTCGCTTTAATTTCGATTTTACATTAGCGCCTCTAATACTAGTGAGCGTTCTAGCATGTGCTGTGATACCTGTCTTGAGATTTCCTACAATTAAAAATATGTTTAAGTATCAAGACATAGTATAAGCTATACGATGCCTATAATAACTTTTTTTAAATCTAGAAGTAC